CTCCTATATATATATATATATATATATATATATATATATATATATATATATATATATATATATATATATATATATATATATATATATATATATATATATATATATATATATATATACTGCATGGATATCTCTATCAGTTTTAATTAATTAAATTATTCTCCCAGAGGTCAAGTTTGCAAGGCCAAGGATCGATCATCCTTATATTGGGCCATCTTTTGAGTTTTGTAGTAATCCGGCCTGGCTGTATATACAAGAAATATTTGCTCATTAATCCATGCATGAAAAGAACAGTTTTATGCACTGTAAATTTTGAATAACTTATCTTAAGTTAAAAAACATTCTTATATAATTGTGCATGGCTCGACGGTATAATTATTCCACTATCTCAAAATCAAAAATGGGGACAAATCTTAAAATCTCAAATTTTATCTCAGAATTAATTTTTTTGCTTAAATCAGAATTATACTCTTATCAATAGAAATCGCAAAAGAACAAAGAATGAATTTCAAACTTCATTAATTTTCAACCAATAGAATGCAGAATTTAGATGATAACAAAATCGAGGCAATGATTTTTTATGTGCATGTATCTATATATGCACCTGCAAAATTTCCCCAATGCCAAGAATATTTTCAGACCGGATTTTGAATCGATAAAGTTCTAATATTAAAGAACATTCATTTCCTGATATAATAATGAAATGAAACACTCTTTGAATTAAAAATACAAGCATGTCAAGTCCTCCCATTCAGTTAGTTCATTAAAAGTCAATTATTGTTCATTTCACTTGGCTCGATTAGTATAAGTAATGATGCTTATAACACGTGGTTAAATATATGTTAATTTGCATGACAGAAAATATTCGTAGTCGGTCCGCTTCGAACTAACTTTATATTTACAGTACACACACAAGGAACACGAGATAATTAATATCATTTTTCATTGTTAATCGCTTGCATCCTGTAAATATAATAGCAGTTGATATTTTTATTTATTAAATAATCAATGTCCGGATAAAATAAAGTTGAAACGTCAGCCTATCTATATACATGTGACTTTTCGTTCATGTTCTGTTTTACCGCTGTAATAGACCTTTTTCGGCATCATGTCGAACGCGAAAAAATACTTGATGCAATGTTCCACAGGACAATTCTTATATAGCCACAATTCGCAGTGCAAGTCTTTGTCGAGCCAATCAAATTTCATGAAAACATAATTTACATTGCGAAAATTATCCCTTGGGACATTGCGTTTGACGTCATTATATATATATATATATATATATATATATATATATATATATATATATATATATATATATATATATATATATATATATATATGTATGTATATGTATAATATATATATAGTTTTACCTCAAAACAACCACGAAAAACTATATTACGCTCCGATCTATATGGTATTGAGCACTGTTTGTGTTTCGTAAACCAAAAACTTAAGCTATATATATATATATATATATATATATATATATATATATATATATATATATATATATATATATATATATATATATATATATATATATATATATACTCC